AAGTCAATACTTCGCAGTGACATTCGCTTTTCCTCGTCCCTTGTGTTTTTCGTTACATTGGGGGCGCAGTGCCGTAAACGACTGGCAGTCATACGCAGACTAGTGAGCTAACTAGGCAGGTTTATCAATCAGAATGCGAATTAGGAGCAGCATTGAGATCACAACATAATAATCACATTCAAGCGTTGGTTAAGTCCATTTTAGTCTAACTTTCTCGAATTATTTCACCTTCCATCTAGGTTAGTCCATCAGACGGCCAAATTCTTCACTTTGGTCCGGTCGACCCGATTCGTGGTGTTTTAGAACAGGTCAAAGGTGTGAGTTATTCCCTACCCGAATTCTTCGGTTTGCCGAATCATCGACCGACTGCGAAGCAGCATATCTTGCGTCCATTGTGGCCAGCCAAAATTTCGACCACGGATAAACAGTTGTATCAGTGCGTGATCTATTTGGCCCCCGGAGATTGCCATCGATTCTATAATCCAACAGATTGGTCAGTTTTGACTAGAAGACATTTTCCTGGTAAGCACTTTGCCCTTTTTAAACCGGTAGCTCCAACTTGGATTCCTAAGAAGATTGTAATCAAATGGTTGTGTTGACTGATTAACGTCGGTATCGTAAGTCCGCTCTTCATCCGTCGTTATTTAGATCGTTACATACACATACATTTCTGGGAATAGATATCAAACGATGTAGTTGTATCATTGACAGCAACACCCACTGGGCGTCAATGAAGACAATGTAGGATGGTTTAAAATTGACTGTTAGATATCATGAATTAATCATGTAAATAAAGTGTAAGTTGAAAAGCTAGAAAGCACTGGATAGCTTTTTTTGACTTGATTGGCTCTCATCAGCAGTGTGAATCCATTGACTCAACTGGGGATCCAACCAGGGACCTCACAGGTAGAACGCAAGCGTAATACTCACTCTATCACCGGGAAACTAATGAGGCCGTTTTTCACTTGGTATATACACGATATAGTATAACCCATCTTTACGAGTTCAATGCGGGCATTACACCCCGCTCATCTCAGCGGAAGTTAATTTCTTATTTCAGATCCCAGTAAATGCGTCATAGAATGAACGAACCCCATGGTCTCGAGGACCTGATGTTCAATTACGGCACCCATCAATCTATGCCCGGTTTCTTACTTCGGCTGGTGAACCACCTAAGGTTCTAGCAATGAAGCAGAGCTGCTATGCGGTTACGAACTGATGCGAGCTATTGTTGTTAAGATTCAGCGGTTGACATGTGGTTTTGGGAAGCTTGTCGGAGCCTGGAGACTAGTTTTGTTGCGTCCTTACGAATTTTCCTCTCTTCATTGCACATCTTAGCTGTGATTACGATCATCTGATGGTTGATCATGTAAACAGATATTACTCCTGTTCGAGGGACACGAGCACCACTACAGAAATGTCTGACGATCACTGACTAGGCTGGAAACGAGATATGAGCAATCCTTTCAATCATGGACTAATTGGACAGAGAATAACATTGATTTTTTCTTGTAAATTCCGCACTTTGCTAGATTGAAAAATTTGTGAGAATAGCACCAAATTATGTAGACTTTCCATGAGTTGCTGACCTAAATTAGAGTCCTGATTACTGATTGATACACTATAATTCAGTTATAATTCGGTACTATTACTTTACAACAATACCATCTAATTTCTAATTCGGTTTTCACATCATTCACTCATTTGACTGCAAGTGGTGTTTTAATTTCTTATCCATCCACTCTTCCCATTGTTTCATTAATCGAATCCTCTTAGGAAAATTGCTATCTGTAAAACCTCGAGTTGTCGCTCGTCTTCCCGGGTTGTACGCAATGAATGAACGCGTTGTTTATCTGGGCCGATGGGCGTACGGTTTCATGTCGCTCACCGCGGTCGGCGCTGTCGGGGTCGGTGGAATCGATGTCTCTCTGGATCCAACTCTCGTGACCAATGCTCGCGCGGACCAGCCATTTCGTATTCAAGCCCGAGCCGCCGAATCGACCACACTACCTTCTTACCGAGAGCGTGAAATGCCCCAGGGGACGCATGTGTTCAAAGGACACGAGTTTGGACGATTTCAGTTTGGTTCAACTATTGTGCTGGTATTTGAAGCCCCGGTCGGATGTGTATCGTGGCCTATTGAAATTGGACAGCATGTAAAAATTGGTCAAGCTTTGTTTGAAATTGATGGAATTGAGTAAAAAGGAAACCGATGAACACATATCCACCTGCCAACTCGGCGATAGAGTTCTATTCTTGTCCGACCCGGTTCGACTCTGTCATACTTCCTTTCTTCCACGACCCGCATAGTTTATAGAAAATGAAACCCGATTCTCCGATCGTGATAGCTTTTATTATGTGATCTAAACGACTGTACATAGTAACTATTGTAACCAAAGAGTATCATGTTTTCTCACGGACTACTTATTTTCACATTGCCTTGACCGGACTCAGATGATGTTTCTGACATAATGCAATGAAAAAAAGACGTGAAATCAAAATACATTGGTGATTTCATTGACGAGCTCTAGGTCTGAGAACGTTCGCCACATTTTCTGTTGACCCAAATACAATGGACACAGTCAAAGCGATATACGTTTCCAAAGGAGCTTAGTGTTTGATTGAGATTTCAAGGTTGTGGCTGAGTGATATGCATATGTGGATTACTTTTTCTCTGGAAGATATTGGAGGAGGGAAGCGATGGCCTCGTGCATGCCATTACTGGTTTACTGTGTAACATTCGGTTGCAAGGGTGCATTCTACCATCCTTAATTTCAAGAAGGGTACTCACAATGACTGCGCAAATCACTGTGGAATAAGTTTGATCCCAATCACCACCAAAGTACTGGCCTCCGTCAAACTTCGGTGTCTGACGCCCTTACGAGAGACGAATATCCGCAAGCACGATTCCAACCAGTTCGCGATTGTATCGACCAAACCTTCACGTTGCATCGAGCCGTCGAGTTACACCAAACACACCGTCCACCAACGGTTGTCGTGTGCCTTGACCTGAGAGGAACTTTCGACTCAGTTGACCGCGTAGCCCTAATGGGTTCCATTCTTCGAAAAGGAATGTCCCAAAAGTAAGTTACCGTACTGAGGTCAAATGAAGGTTTGCAACAAACTAAGTTGTTTGTCACCCCGCAGCGGCGTTCGTCAAGGGTGCCCTATTTAACCATTACTGTTCAACTTCTTCGTATACGAAATTCTGGAGGTTGCACTAAGTGGTCTCCAAAACGTCGGCACTGAATGGGAATCTGGAGGAAAGCTGTGCGATTTGAAATACGCCGATGACATTTTTTGTCTGTTCGAATGTATGGAGGACGTACAAAGCACTCTTGATAGACTAGCAAGTCCTGTATCTCCGTTTAGCATGCACTTCGTATCTGCTCCCGCTTTGAAACTAAACGGTCAGGAATTAGTTATAATAAATTGCTTTTTCTACTTAGGTAGTTGTGTGACCAATGACGGTAGCTCATCAAAGCAGACAACCGCACTCATTTCCGATGCTGGAGCAGCGTACGCAAGACATCTTTGTAGTAGACACGACGTTTCACTGAAGTTGAAAGATCGTGTATATTGTGCTATCGTTCTTCCAGTTCCGCTTTATAGTTGTGGGACTTTGGATTTTCGAATAGAAGATATCTATCGACCAAACATTTTCTACTTTTTTTATTATTACACAAAGTGAATTACAGTAAACGGGGAGATCCCCATGAGCAAATAACCTACTGTAAAGGGTACATTCACGTAAGATCCAATTTATTGATTCTGCTTTTGAAAAGTGTGAGGTTGTAAGTTGGGGGGAAAATAGCAAGTGGGAGGGTGTTCCACAGTTTGGCAGTTCGGGGAAAAAAAGAAGATTGGAGTAGAGAGGTACGACATATGGGAACAGAAACCTGATAGGGATGACTAGATGCCTGTGTGCGAGATGGACGGGAAAAAGTCGCAGGAAAAGGAACTGCCGAGGCAAGTTCCGAAGAACAAAAACCAAAGTAGTAACGGTAGAATAGGGACAATGAAGCAACTGCCCGACAATGGCCTAGCGACTGTAGACTGGATGTTAGGGAAGGATCGTCGATCATCCGGATGGCCTTTCGTTGGACACGATCAAGAAGGGAAAGGGAAGAACATGAAGCTCCGCCCCACACGTGACTACAGTATTCAAGAGCAGGGCGGATTTGAGCTTTGTACAATAGAAGATGAGCTGGGGTGAAAAAACGTCTGGCGTGAAATAGAAATCCAACCTTGCGCGCAGCACGAGAAGCGAGCTTGGTTATAAAAGGGAACCAGCATAAAGAAAAAGTAATAGGCAGTCCAAGAAGGAAAACAGAGTCTGTGGAACGCAGTTGGGTGGAACCAAATGATAACTGGGGGGAGAACGAATGGTGTTTTAAGGAAATTGAAAGAAGAGATGTTTTGGAACTATTGAACGAAACGTTGTTTGCAATGCTCCACGAGGAGATGTGTTCGAGACCGGAGTCCAGTGACACAGTAACTGCACTACGGTCGATGTTGTTCTGGGCATAGCGAGCAGTGCGGTAGGAGAGAGAGAGAGCAATGGAGGGTGGTGTCATTGTTATGTCTTGATGTCGAGACGATGTGTTCGATACGTACGCCTCTTGTCTAGGCCCCAACAACTGGAGAAAGAACACTGCTGAGAAACGACAGTCAGAGTGTATTTTTGATCATGAAACAACAAGCAAATATATGTGGCCAGTTGGGCGTACGCGAGCGGAGGTGGTGACGCGCCAATCAGATGGTGACCTTGACACTGAGGTTGATCGACCGGACGACAGCTATTTGATTCGCCTTAGTCATCCAATCAGGAGTCGATTCGGCTTGGACGTCGCGAGCGCACTTGTGGTGTGACGCGCGTCGCTGCGTGGCAGGACGGATTTTGTGCGCTCCGTCGTAACACCTCCCTTTTGAGATGTACGTTCGCAATTTGNCGGTGCTCGCTTGTACATAATCACGGCTCTCTCTTGACCATTCGATTGCGGATGAAAATGGTTTATGTGGTTTATGTCGTTCTGTCTGCAGACATGATGGCACACCTCGTTCATGGGAACATCAAATAATCCGAACTTCTCGAT